GATTTAGTATATATTAGATACAACTAATATTGGTATTAAAAGAGGAAGAAAATTTACATTTGTACTCAGGGCCTCCAGGATGGAGAATCAAACATTTTTACTTGTTATTAAGATGGTGCCTGCCAACAAGCTACTCAGAAATACCCATTAGAGTTATAAAACAAGAATTTATCTCAGCTTATTAATGGAAGACTAATGAGTAGAAAACACGGTCTCTATCTGTCCCTCTCCCTGCCTACTAGCCCATTATAGATACAGATCTTTTCTTCATTTTCTTGGAAGAAATTTTAATAAGTGTTCCAATTTATTTTATGTAAGCAAAAGATTAACACTTAGAAATGTACTTGTAGCATAAAATGACCAGTTAGTGAGCACAGAGCCACATCTAGCCTGAAAAACATTTTGATGCAGCCTCCAGAGAGGATTTTGTCAAAAAATAAAAATCAAATGAAGTAACCAGGCAGTCCACACTGAGTCCAATTTGTTTAGAGGTGTATAGAGCCAGGTTAACTCAACAGTCCACAAAACCCTGCTTTGGATGTATGTAAATCAGATACTGGAAAATGTATTCTTCATAAACTGGCACAAATTAATGAAATGTTAGGGTAAACAGATGAAGGACCAGAGAAAAAAAATCAAGATTTTTTTTTTCATTGTAACTTTTAACAATTTTTTAAGGTAACCTTGGTTTACAACACTATATGACCCAGAACCATAGAATCCCTCCTCTTCAGATGCTTATTACCACACCACACCTACCACCAAGGCACCTATAGTCCTACACTACAATATATATACATATACATATATATATATATATATATATGACATATATATCTTTTAAAGAGTCTGGGCAGTTTGACACTGAATGTAATGAACAGTTGCATGTTTATTATTTATTTATATATATGGAGAGAGTATATTATTTTAAAATAATTTGCCTCCAACACAAAAAGGTGAAGATATAACATATTAGTTCCTGAAACTAATCTTGACTGGATATCAAGACAAGCAACTGGAATGTGGCCTGATGCTGGAAGTTTATTTTCACAATTTACAATAAACAAAAACCTCAAGCATCTTTCCCAGCACTGTGGTCTGGACCTGCCATATGCACCCCCTGCACATTGATGGCTGTACCCTTGTGTGGCCAACACACAGGGTCTTTTTGCTTTGGAGTGTTTTATCATCCTCTGTTTCCTGTAGTGTGTGAATAAAAATGGCCTCTGCTTAGAAAAGTTAAAGTCAAATCAAGGACTGAACTTCATTCCCAATCTGCCATAGTATAAGAGAACTTGAAATTGAGTGGTTTGAAAATGCTTTTGTGTTATTTTGACACATTGACTCTCAACCCCATCATACTCCAAACCCTCTTTTTCAAGGCCAATATTTTGAGACATCTTTATTCACTTCAAAAAAATTCTGAAATTTCTACTTGCACAGACTATTTCAAAGAAACAAATACAATGCCCTACATGTGACATAAAAGAAAAATGCATGAATGCCCTGGATCACGACGGCAGTAGGCATAATGAAGTAGTCAGATACTTGTATCTGTTCAGGGGGTAAACTCACTGTAGGTTCATGGTGAATGTGGAAGCTACAGAGACTGACTGATTCAGTGAATGTACAGGGAACTTGAATGCCATAGTGATGTTATAGCTTTGTGATGTTATTTTCCCAAGCAATGAACAACTCCTGGCAAAACAAAATAATAACAACCTGAACAAATGCAATCTTTCTTCTATTTACACAGTACCTCCATTCCTCATAATTTGGTATTTATTGAAAGCATACCCAAATATATTATCTATATAAAAGGGTTAGGTAACAGGCTTCTGGAATTATGCATAGTTTTCACATTCATGCACTCATGAAAGCCTTGCATGATGAGGAACTAACACTCTACATGGCAGGGTGTCTAGAATCCCTTGCCTCCAGTAACTATCAGTAGCATCCTGTCATTTTTATGGCCAACAAACGTATCTACAGAGATTTCAAAAATACCCCAAAGGGTGGTACTAATGCCTTTGAGTGTCAAGCCTGGGTCTCAGCATGGCACATGATCACCCCCACCCCAGTCCCGATAAAACCTCAACTATGATTAAACTGACTTCCTGTCTATAAGAACAATTCCTACCAGACTCAAAATACAAAACAGTGAAAAACTTTTTATCACAATTTTTTTAAGTTTATTCTCACAAACATGCAGAAAAATCTAGGGTTTAGAAGCAGAAAGTACTAATAGTGAAGGGCTTATTTTTTTCAAGTAACTATATACATAAAGTTTCTTAGGTAAAGGTGCATCTAATGAGTTGGGAAAATTTCCTGACTTAGTTTTTTACCTCTTCCTATCCAACTTCCATTAACTGATATTTATAAAATGTTTAGAACAGTTTCTGGCATGTTGTAAGTACTATATAATCTTTGCTAAATATGTAAGTGCTCTCAAAATTATCATTTTAAAATTCAAAACTGATCATGTTTCTTCTGTGATCAAATGCTTCACTGGATCTTTATTTTAAAATCAGATATTACTTAAGGAGCAAATCCTTCAAACAAAATCTTACATGAAAATGATGTATATAATGGTGTTTCTCTTATCAGAACTAGGTAGGGAGCCTGGAATTATGCCCACCTAGCCTCTCATTGCAGATCCTGAGGCAATCACAGAACCTGGCATCATAGGACTCTCAGGCAGTAACCCGTGTTTGGAAGACACTAATCCATAAGATTCATGACCAACCATTAATATGGACCCATAAAGCCCCCAGGCTCTGGCACCAGAATCCCTCCCTCATTGTCGACACCCTCATACTATAGCAGCCAATCATTTCCTTCTAGGGCAGTGCCTGAAGTGCTGTCAGCTGTCTCCTGCTTTTGTACCTTTGTTTTCATTCTTCCTTCTACCCTGGACTTCTCTCATCACCAGTCAGCCAGGTAGATGCCTACCCATGTTTTATCAGCACTCACCTCTCTTCAGAACGTGTTCCTTTACATCCTAACCCCACTTCTATGACCTCTCTCACAGCTGTAACAATGGCAGCTGGCACTGAATGATTGCTTGCTATGTACCAGAGGCTGTTCGAGTAACCCCTTTCCTCTTTTAATATGTCTTGTTCAGAATAACTCTAGGAGATAAGAACTGATAGTGTCCCCATTTTACAAACAATGAAAGTAAGTTGCAGAAGAGATGAATAGCTTTCCCAAGGCTCATGACCAGAAAGTGGAAGCACCTAAATTCTGAATTTAAGTAATCTACTTGATTGGATTATCATGTATATTTTTTTATATTTTTTAATTTATTTTTACTTTTTTACATCATTGTCCATTTTTAAACAATATTTGCTTACCCTCACCCCCTCAGGTGTACTCCCCATAAAGTGTCCTTCACCAGTGCACCCATGCACCATCACCTCAGTCCCCTGTGCTCCTCCCTCCCTCCCTCCCTCTGATCCCTCTCCCTCCTCCTCCCCTGCAGGATGTCTCTGATTTATTATTGTCTGTTTTTGCTTTGTTGTGTTTTGTACTGTTACTATTTTTTTACACTGATGTCTTATTTGGTTTCCCTTTATTCCTGCTATAAGTGAAACCATGTGATTTTTTTTTTCCTTCTGGTTTATTTCACTGAGCATAATTCCTTCTAGCTCCATCCACGTTGCTGAGAATGGCATGAGTTTATCTTTTTTGATTGCTGAATAATATTCCATTGTATACACATCTTCTTGATCCAGTCATCTATTTTTGGGCATTTGGGTTGTTTCCAGGTTTTACGTACTGTAAATAGTGCTGCAGTAAACATAGGTGTACAGGTGTTCTTTTGAATCAATGTTTTTGTGTCCTTTGGGTAGATCCCTAGTAGTAGAATTGCTGGGTCATATGGTAGCTCCATTTTTAGTAGACTGAGGAACCTCCAGACAGCTTTCCATAATGGTTGGACTGGTCTGCACTCCCACCAGCAGTGTCAGAGAGTTCCTTTTCACCACATCCTTGCCAACATTTGTTGTTGCTTGTTTTTGATATGTGCCATTCTTACTGGTTTCAGGTGGTATCTCAATGTGGTTTTGATTTACATTTCCCTGATAATAAGGGATGCTGAACAATTTTTCATATGCCTGTTGGCCATTTGCATTTCCTCTTTGGAGAAATGTCTTTTAAGTTCTTCCCATTTCCTGACTGGATTGTTTATTTTATTTTTGTTGATTCGTGTGAGTTCTTTGTATATCTTTGTGATCAATCCCTTATCCGTTGAATGAAGTGCAAAGATTTTTTTCCCAATCAGTGGAGTGTTTCTCTCTTTTGGTTAATGTCTCTTTTGCTGTGTAGAAGCTTTTCAGTTTGATGTAATCCCAGGTGTTTATCTTTTCCTTGACTATCTTTGTTTTGGGTGATGAGTCTTTAAAGATGTCATTGTGATGTATGTCTTGTAGTGTTTTACCTATATTTTCTTCTATATATTTTATGGCTTCAGGTCTTATGTCCAGTTCTCTTATTCATTTTGAGTTGATTTTTGTGCACTGTAAGAGGTGGTGGTCTAGTTTCATTTTTTTGCATGTGGTGATCCAGTTTTCCCAACACCATTTATTGAACAAACTGTCCGTGTTCCATTGCATGTTCTTTGCTCCTTTGTCAAAGATCAGTTGTCCATGTAAGTGTGGTTTTATTTCTGAGCTCTCTTTTTTGGTTCCATTGGTCTGTGTGTGTGTTTTTGTTCTAATACCAAACTGTTTTAATTATTATGGCTTTGTAGTATAGCTTGAAGTTTGGCAATGTGATACTTCTTTTCTCCTTTGTTTTCATCAGTAGGGCTTTGGCTATTCGTGGTTTTTTGTGGTTCCATATGAATTTCATTGGTATTTGTTCTATTTCTTTGAAGAATATCATTGAGAATTTTATTGGAATAGTGTTGAATCTGTATATTACTTTAGGTGGGATGGACATTTTAATAATGTTAATTCTTCCAATCCATGAGCAGGGGATGTCTTTCCATGTCTTTGTGTAAAAATATGGAATGCTTCATGAATTTGCATGTCATCCTTACACAGGGGCCATGCTAATCTATGTGTCATTCCAATTTAGCTTATGTGCTGCCAAAGCAAGCACTATATATTTTTATATTTTTTAGCATCCGCTATCTTCCTCTCTGCTGAGAACCCCTGAAGCATCAGTCACTTGTTGACCATTGTTCAATCCCCAGCACTCTGTAAGCCTCAAGAAATGATGTTAAAAGAATCAAAACAAATGCTTTCTTCATGGATTCAGCATAGTTAGATACTTTAATTTAGAAATTTACAAAATGTTTATTGGCTTCCCTATAATGATTTCTCCTTTCCCACTTTCTCTTCCTTATTAGAAGCTGATAAAAGTAACAGTGCAGCAACATGGTCTTCAAATGGCAATAGCAATAGAAAATATTTCATAGTAAATTCAATTCATAAGTTTATAATTGGTTTCAAATGTACTCTATGTTAATGTATTAAGCATGGTTATTCAATAGGATATCTAACTCATATAACATAATTTTCACGTTGATATGTTAAATGGACTTTGTCTTATGAAATGTCCCAAAATATGGAATTAATGTATTTCTATTTTCCCCATGACTCATTTTTAAATTTTAGTAACTGTGTATAATTTTCAGCTTTCTAACTTTTTTATACCTATTCTCTTACTTATACCCCGTTTTCCCAGTGTATCTTCTTAATTCTAGCCGTTGTAGGTATCCCTAAGAATGTTGAGATTTCAGAGTGTCTAGTGGCCACCTGGGTGACCGTGAACAAAGTTACTTACTCATTCTTTCTGAGCATCAATTTTTCATCTATAAAACTGGATTATAATTGCCCCTATTTAAAATGCTTAATTCTATGAATGGCTCATACTATATGCTCAATAAATGTTAGTTATTTTTAACTTTCATATTTGCCTTGGGACAAAAGGCTTCTTTTTAGAAATTAGTATCTCAACTTTCTATTAGACTAATTATTCTCTATCACTTCCCTTATGACACATAGCAGATATTTGTTTCTTAGTTACCCTTTATTAATAGAATTGTTATCTGATATTGGTCTTGCTAACGTATAAACATGAATCCTTTTTACTTAATAATCCATATCCATGTCTAAATTACTTTTTTCTTCAGTATTCTTCAGTGAAACCTTGGAGCCTGGCATTTTCTAAATGCTAATTGCTTTCAATTTTCTCACTCGGGTAATTCATTTCAAACACATACTTTTTCATGAAGCATTAGTTCTATGTAAATATTTTGTGAATGAAAATATCACATAAAAAGTTAAACCTTTGTTTCGCATTCAGGGAGCATATTCATAGGAGACATCATTTATTTAGAGTCACCGTATTGTCCAAAACCCAGGAAAAGGGCATTTCTCTCTTTACTGTTTAGAAAGCTGATATGCAATAAAGTATTAACAAGTCAATCTGTTAAAATGTTTTGAGTTAAAATTGAAAAACAAAGATTTCAAACTATCAAAAGAGATAGTGCAAGAGATAGGATAGGCTTTGATGCATTCAGAAGCACACATTAAGTTGTGTGAATTGGTTTGCATGATGTGTGGGGGGAAGGCCAATTTTCTGATGACTGAATAAATTAAATAACCAAGTCTCCAAAGCATTCAGGACACTGAATGAGGACTTTTTAAAAAGGAAGAAGGGATTAAAAGCCAGTTCCCTCCATTTTTACCTCATATTTTTGCATAGTTTAATTGTGTTTCTAGTGTCTTCTAAATTTACAGATTCTGAAAGAGCTTGGTATTTATGATTCATGTGGTTTTTAGTGAATAAAATAGATATCTCAAGAGGTTATGGAATTTGTCTAAGCCAAGGCCACAGAAAATGTCAGGGACAGAACTAGAATGAGGACTTGAAGACATTTCTCTTATCATCCCTGATTATTGGTACAGAATTTGCTCATTTCAAAGAACTGAAAGCACAGGAAATTTTTCTCATTAAATTCCTAGTAAAATAAAGTAGATAAAATCAAGTGGAATGCAAAACAAGTTGCAGGTATGTTCAGAAATCTAATCTAATATAGAAATAAAGTCAGGAAATTTAATCTAATATAGAAATAAAGTCATATAAAAATACTAAAGCTAAATAACCATTTTAAGTTCATAATTGCAAGATCGTTGCTGTCATTATTTAACCTGAACACATAAAACATAACAACAAAGGCTATGACAAGGCATCTGCACAACCAGAAATCAGGTTAGGTAGGGGATGGAATGAAAATGAGGAGAGAGGTCCAGTCGAAAGCACTGTGGCAAGCACACAGCTATGTGATGTGGACATACTAACCTGGATCATAGCATTCAAGGAGTGAAATTGAAGCTACTGATTAGAGTAGTTTTCCATCCACCCCCAATATCTGTTCTACTACCTAAAGCAGAGAGTTTAAATCAAAGTATTTTCCCTATCTCTGTTTTAGTGACCCAAAAAGTCTGTCAAATCATCTCGTCTATGAAATACCCCTCAATCCTCTCACTCCCTATCAATTTTTTTTGACATTCTGAGAGAAGATTCACATGGATAAAGACAGGGGTTAGGAAGTCATAAAGATTCAAGTTTCAGGCCATCAGTCAAGCTCTCTTGACATTTTAGTAGTATGATTTTTGGCAAATTGTAATATTTCTGAGTCACAGTATATCAACTTTTAAAGTGATTATAATCTTGTTTACCTCATATGATCCCCATATGGGCTAAACATGAATATAAATGTGAAAGGCATAGTACAGTACTAACATGTAAACAAGCAATAGCTGTATGTGCTAAGTAGTCCTAAAATTAGACCCAAGTAGTCAATTCATCAGCCTCCCTGGTAGCACAGGAGTTAGACACTGTGCTATCAAGCTCTCACCAGCCACTGCAGCAAGAGTTTGATCCCCAACCAGGGATGTGACCCACATGGCGCAGCAGACCTCTCCTGTCTCACCTGCTGCTCCTCTCAGCAGTGTATTTCAGTAGATCTGCCTGTTCTGCTCCCCACTCTGTCTCTAGTGAATCCTCTCACCACAACCACCACCACCACACACTTCTGACCTATACCCCAGCTCTTGTATGCATAAATAAATAAATCTTTAAAAACAAAAAAGGAAATATCTTTCTCAGTTTCAGTAGGTACCAGGGACATAAATATTTACATAGAAATGGACAAGGTTAGCCAAATAACCAATAATGGTATTCGTTAGTTTGTTAGAACCACTCCATTTGACTGAGCTTTATTAATTGCAAATCATGGAGAAAACAAAGAAAGATAAGAACCAGAAAAAAATACAGGGAAATTAACAAGAAAGGGCAATAATTGTAAATGAGGGAATAAAATAAACCTAAAGCAGAATTCTTGTACATTTGACAAATTACCACAAGAACTGGATTCTAAGTATCTGTGTTGTTGGACTTTGTGCATCTCACTTATGTGGGTCTGAATTTCCTCATTTACAAAATGGAGACTGGACTAAATCATCTTTCAGGCCTTCCTCAGTTCCAAGAGTCTAGATTTGTCTTGAATTAGAGAATCATAGCTACTAAACTCTTAACAGCAAATCCAACGCTTTAAAATTCCTATTATTTCTTAAAATTCTATTGACAACTATAACTGTAACCTTTATAAAATAGCAATACTTCCACATTTATGCAAAAGCATTGCAGAATCTGATCAGAAAGAGCATGGGCAAACTCAGGTCATTTCTCCAAAGTCAAACTGATGGTGGCTCCTAACCAGGAAAAACATCTGGAAAGCCATCTGCTACAGTTCACATAGGGACTCTCAGACTCAAGCTATTCCATTATAAGAAACATACAGTATCATAACTAACAGTGTAATTGACTGGGGCACCATTCTCTTGGATTTTCTAGTGCATAAATACTGCCCAAAGATAGTGTATTTAGCAATAGCCATGTTGGAAAGCAGAGGCATGCTTTAAGTGTTCTCTGGAACTTATTTTTAGCCACAAAGTGCTATTTCCAGTCAGTACCACAGTTACTCAGTTTGTATATTCTAAAACCAAGTGCGTGGTGTTGTGTGTGTTCTTCACTGTAGGAATAGAGGAAGAGCATGGATCCCACTGCCAAGTGCTTAGTGTGAGCAGCAGCAGCAGGTGCACAAGTGTACAATTGCAGCCTGGTGTGTTGAGGTCCAAAGCAGAGGAGAAAGCTTTAAATCCATAGATGATACCTGAACTGTATTTTCTTTCTTTTTTTTTTGTCATCAGTGCAGTTTGTTTTTAGAATGGTGAAGGATGATGCTGAACTATACTTTCTTTTGGCCTGCTTTCCATTGAACCACTTTCAAAGTGAGCTCATTAAGGTAAATCATGCTGACTTGGTTTCATATTCCAAAAATTCCAAAATAATGAATTTGTATTTCAAAAAAGGCACAGCTATTTTTATTTCTTGTTTATTCCATCCAATTGAAGACTAAGACTTTTCATTTTTCCCTTGTTCCCTGACTCTGTTATGTCCCTATAGTCATGTTTTCATCTTCTATCTCTTGCTTAGACCATTACATTCTCCCTGTCTCTATACTTGCATAGCTACCACCTTCATTACTGATATTTTAGCTAAGGCATTTTGATCCAATAGAGTAAGTTATTATAAAACAATAAACAAACTGTTAAACTTTCAATGAACTAAATTATCAAATAAGTTATGAAACTAATAACCCACTTGAGTTGCAAGTGTTCTTCCATCTCTGTCAGTCACTCCATCCGTCATTCCATACTTGGTGCCCTGTTATTGAAGTGATCCAATTTGCATCGCAAAATTTTCCTTCTTTCCTCCACATGGCTACATGTTCTTTAAGAGTTCTTTAAGAGAAGCCCTCTTAAAACATTTAATCTCTCTTCCTCCTCTTTGCCTTAAAACTCTTCAGTGACTTTCCATCGTCAAAGCAAAGGTTCTCAAATTTAAACCTGTATGGATCTAACCTGTGGAGTTTTTTATGTAAATTATAAGACCAAATGCTTCTGAGATTCTGATTCAGCAGTTCTGAGGTGCAGAGGCTGTAGTATCCAACCTGCCATGTGAATGGGTGCCTTGTTAACTGGCAGCTCCTCTGCTTCTATCATCTCCCCCTCCCTCCTGCTGTGAAT